AAACTCCCGAGTTAATCCCAACACACAAACAGATACGAAATTTCAATGATGGTAGGGTAATCTGTTCTCAAAGTTTAAAATAGTGAGAACCAAGACACAAACAGCAGCCCCATAGTCACGCCTCTCTCCAGGCAGCCAGGCCTGAAGCCATGGAATTCTCTCCGGGGCGTGGGGAAGTGCGTGGCATTTTTTCCCCTGGAGCCTGACCGGGAACAGCAGCGGTCCTCAGCGGAAGGGGAACAGAGGCTGCTCCGGAAGCAGGGGAGTTCTTTTCTGCTTCCTTCCTCGGGGACAGTCCACTTTCCCTGCCTTCATTTGGCCTGGCATGATTTTCTGATGAGGACAGGATTTTCTGCGTCTACACACTGTGTGTAAGCTCCCGGAAGCCTGGGCAAACCAACCACCTGTAAGTGACCTGCACATCTTGGTACAGGTCTCCTCCAGGCCTCAGGCTTTCAAATACTAGAAATGTTAGTTGGGAAGATGTATGAATCGGGGCGAGGCTGCAAGTGAAAGAAGGATCTTCTCAAATTAAAAAGAAATATTTGCTCACCTATTTGGGAAGTCCAGGAGACAGCTGGCTTCCTATAGCTGGGAACCCTGGCTTACGTGATCCTGGAGGTTCCTCGCTCTCAGTTTCTCCTCTCTGTTTATTTCTGTTCATGTTAGCACCTCAGCCTCTTTCTCCTCTCATCTAGAGAGGTTACCTCCACGTGACTTGGGAAGATGGCCAGTTAAACAGCCTTACATTCAAATCTTCCCACAGCCGGTGAAGGCAAAGAAGAAACGCACCTCGTCTGCACGAGCACAGCAGTCACGTGGAAGGCTCTGATCGGCCCGTGGGGGGCTTGTGCTCACCTCGGGATGAATCACTGTTGCTCGAGGTAGGGGAGACCCTGCTTGGCCTGACCGGGTCCTTTGCTCACCCTGTGCCAGAGTCTCGTGACAGCAGGGAGCTCTTCGTCTCAAAGAAGAGGGGTGGGCTATCAGCGCAAGTTGAGCGGATACAACCGCAGTTACCGTATTTCCCCTTGTGGGGAGGAAAAGCGAAGGTGGGTCTGCTTTGTTTTCGTTACACGCTTGACTTGATAACCATATTCAATCTTAGATCCTCAAAACGACGGTGGGGACTCTTTCAATGTATACTGATTTTTAAGTTAGTGCTTGGCAGAGTATTTGGCAATTGGCAGTCACACACACGTACAATATTATAAGAACGCATTGTGAATAATGCTTCTGGTTGAGTTTTTCATTCATTCATTCTTACCCTCAGTAATCTCTATCTAGTACCTAGTATAGACCATATATAGAAAAAAAAGTCACTCTGCTCTCATCAGATTTATACGGTAATGCAAGAGAAAGACAATCAGAGCTCTACACACCAGCACAGACAATTAGAAATTGTTTTAAATGTTACTGGGTTGTTTGACAGGAGTGGACCTCTGGCATAGCAGAGAGGCGCTCTCCCAAGCCGTATTTGGGTGGAGTCTTCAGTGACGAATAGGAACTAACCAGTTAAGAGTCATAGGGATGATCTTCCAGAGAGAAGCAGCAGCTTGTGTGAAGGGCCTGAATTGGGGGAAGGAAAATACTGAATCAAATCTATTACATCGGCCGGAAGAGAGTGAGAGGCATAAAATTTGAGGCAAAAGATGAAGTGGGAGATCTTGCAAGGCCTTACGGCCTGGACAGAGGTTAATGTTTTAATCCTACATACGGTGGGGCGCCCTGAAGGGTTTAAATCCAGGCAATGATACAATTTTATTTTTGTCAACAAAAATCATTCTGGTTCGTTCATCCATCTATTTATTTAGGCTGCAGATTATGGAGCTAGGGAGCAAGACTGCCTGGGCTCGACGTCTACTTCTGCCACCTCCTACTTGTGTGACCCAGGACAGGTTTCCTAACCCCTGTGCCTCAGTCTCCTTATCTGTAAAATGGGGATAGCAATAGTCGTTACCTCATAGATTTGTCGTGTGAATTAAATGAGTTAAACATCTATATAAAGGTCAGAAAGGTACTTGGAGAGTGGTAAGTGTTATCTAAGTGCTTGCTGTTATTATTGTTGTTGTTATTAAATATACATTTATAAGCGGCTCCTGTGTGCCAGGCCTTGAGGAGGAATAAAATGGACTTTACAAAGAGTGGGAGTGTTTTCTCATGAGAGCATTGATCGCAAGGTTGTCAGACATATTGGGCGTTATTTTGAGGTGTGATCAGGATTTACAGGGCTCCCGGCCTGCTTGCACATTTACGATTATCTAGGCTACTGTCAAAGGATTTCAGACTTGGACAGACCTGGGTTTCATCTCTGGCTTTGCCTCTTACTAACCAAGGGTCTCCATTCAGTACGTCTCAGTTTCCTTGTCTGTCATATGGGGTCATTAAAAGCACCGACCTCATGCATCATGCTAAGTGAAGTAAGTCAGACAGAGGAAGACAAATACTGTACGACAGCACTTATATGTGGAGTATAGAAAAGACAACAAGCTAGTGACTGTAACAGAAAAGAAGCAGATTCACAGACAGAGAGGACAAACCAGTGCTTACGAGTGAGGAGGGACAATTTAGGGGTAGGGAATGAAAAAGGGGGTTATTATAGATTACATGAAATTATGTATGTGAAACTTTTAAGAAATGTAAAGTACTATACGATTTAAAGAATTTTTCATTCAAGAAAAAAGCACCTACCTCATAGTGTCATTATAAAGAATAAACAAAATTACATATATCTGTATTTATGTATGTATGTATGTATGTGAAGTTTTTAGCTGCATGGTAATTATTCTGTAAATGATATTATTCGTCCTAAGTTAAGAAGTGGTGATAGTGATATAAATTTTTCTCTCTCTTTTTTTAAGTTTGTTTTTATATTTTTACTTAAAAATTTTTTTAATTTTATTTTTATTGAAGTGTAGTTGATTTACAATGTTACTCTCAGGTGTACAGCAAGCAATTCAGTTATACATATATATGCATAGTGGCATATAGTGGGTTTTTTTTTTTGATGCAAGCTTCTATGCTTAATTTATGTCTTTCTGGCACAGGCTCTGAGTTATTGAAAAATTGGATTCATTGTTAGCTGCTTAAAATAGACCCCAAAGAGGAAGAATATACACAATTCTTATTGTAGTTATTTTTAGATAAGGGAGTAGAAAAAGCAGAATAAGATTAAGGAGATATTTATATGTTTTACTAAAAATACTTATGGAAATTTTAAATCACTGATGGTGAAGACATGTTTACAAGTTATTCCTATGTTAAAAATAATTGTGGAGTGGAGAAGAAAATAAAATAGTGACATACTGTCAAAATATTTTCTTACCTGGCCAAAAATGAACATTTCTAAAACTTGCATGTGTTGCTTTAAATGTTATCCTCCTCTTTTGTTATTTATAAGGAAACATACATTTGGTGGATTTTATAAAACACAAAGCTTTGTTCCTTAAAAGGCGAAGTCTGATTTGAATATCTCTGTCTGCCACTTTCAAGCCTGTCTTCAAATCTGCCCTTCGAATTTCTTTTCCTCTTGTCTCTAACCAGACATACTCTGCATTTGCTAGAGACAGATGGATTTAATTTTTATTATGATCTAACACAAATGGAAAGTGAAATATGAAAAGGATATTTCCATTTATGAAGCCATAAGTTAACATTAACTCTAGCTTTATGATGTTTAACTTTGAGATATCCTGCCAAAACACAATTGATTGATAGGGTTGAAATTAAAACCACTAATAGGATGCCTCAGTCTATAAATCAGGATTATGGAGCTAAGGTCGTTTTTTTTTATTGCTCTTTGTGGGAAGGAAAAGTAGGTAAACAAACTGAAAGGAGTCTGTGGGCCTGGGTGCCCTGCGGGGACACACATGGAAGACAATGACCCGAGGAGTCTGTAAGCCTGCGGTAGAGGGAAAACAACCACTCAAGAGACTAGGGGGCAAGTGCCTGCACGTAAACTGACTATCGGACGGAGACAAGAACAACACTGACAAAAAGGAGATCATGCAAAGGGAAAGTGAATTACAAGGTGAAACTCCCAGCAATAATCCTGCAGTTTCTCTGCAGTCCACAAGCCAGAGCACAATCCTCATTCCTTCCTTGCAAAAACTGTCAGCATGATCTACTAAGGGTTTTTTTTCTCAGTATCAAAAAATGGGAGAATAAGGATTCACTTGGTAAAAATTTTCCCTAGAGCCAGCTCTGTGGAGACATATATCCCATCAAGAAAAGAGATTTATTTGTGTGCACCGTGCATTTCAGGCTCCAAATGATTCTCCTAAAAATACAGACATGAAAACTAGATCTTTGGCATGAAACTTTTAGAAGAAGGATATACTGTGTCTCTCTTAAAATAAAAGATTTATTCCAATCTGGCAGAGAACAAATGCTTTGTTATTAAATTTAGTTCCTTTTCCACCTCCATACTTTCTCCTAGACCAGTGGAATTTCCTCTAACTCTCTGATTTCTCTATTGTTTTTTTTTTCCTGTGTTCTTGCTCTGCTGATTTTCCTTTTTCTATTTTCAGTGTCTAGTGAAACTGGACAACTCTAGTCCAGTGGGTCCCTGAACTTGAACTGTCTTTCATGAATGAGAAACTGAAAAAAAAAACAAAACAAAAAACAAAAAACAAAAACCCACCAACATGAGATTATTTTTTGTTTTGCTAATAACAGACATCAAAAACCAATTTAAAAAATTGAATAGACTTAGTTTTATACAAAATTCACTACATGATGCTTATTTCTCTTATTGCTTCTTAGACCAGTGAAAAATTTATTACTGACTGACCCCAATCTGGGGACTCACTTTGGATGTACTGACTCTAATCCACAGGACTGAGTCCAAAGGACCTGAAGCTTCAGGTTAGGAACAGAGTTGGTGCTCTGTCTCCTTGGTTCTATGATGACAAAAAATTAATATTAAAAATCTTTCAAGATTGTATGTATCTGTATGACTGAAACATGACGCTGCACACCAGAAACTGACACACTTTGACTATACTTCAATTAAAACAAACCAACCGACTTTTTAAGATTGTGCTTACCTCTTTGTTGAAGGAAAATGTGGTCTTCAATGACTCTTCATCATGTTAGGATGAAGGCTCCACTTTTGAAGATGACTTGTGTTTTCCTTATCTGGTTCCCATCTAATGTTACAGCCTCTCTTCCTATCACTTAATAATCCCTTCCCTGGGTGGGTCTCCACACCCATCCATCCAAGATCCAGTCCGACTGGGTTGTCAGATCGTTTGTGCTTTAACATGTGGTTTTCTCTCTGAGAGACTTTGGGTTAAAACCCAATTCAAAGCCAAATCCTGGGGAGAACCTTTCTAGATACCCCCAGGTGGAGCTAGGGACTTCCTCCTCCATACCCTCATAAATGTATGCTGTATATATATATACACACACACATTCACACACACACACATATATATATACATATATATATATAGAGAGAGAGAGAGAGAGATGTATATTATTAAAAGAGAGATTGATATATTAACGGGGAGATTGATATATATACACTGCACAGGGGGTATTATACAAGTGATTTAGCCACAATAGGGTATGGCAGTTTTTTATTTATATGTTCTCTTCTATAAGAGTTCCTTGAAAATGGGAACTATATCCTATTTTTCTTATGCAAACGATGTACGTTGCAGGAAAAGTTAAAAAACATTAGGCAAAAGTAATCTACTCTAGGTTCTGAAACTACAATCTTTCTTTTAACATAATTAAAATCTTAGGTAGGACCGGTTCGCCCTGGTTGGTGTAGGCAGAAGGAAGCAGCATACAGATTTACTCTCCCACTGAATTCTGCTGTTCTGATCACCACCGACACTCCTCCTCCCACCCTTACCAGCCCTTAGAAGACAAAAGACTACCGGCAAGTGTTTTTGCTTGTTTAAAATAACTCCCCACCCCTGCGTATATCTGTGTATATATTTGAATAGCAAATAAAAAGTATCTGGATGGATACACACATACCCCCCCAAAGTAAACAATGCGTATAGATATATATTTTCATTTATTGTGGACATCTTTCCATGCCAATAAATGGGCTTGTGTTCTATCACTTTTAATAGCTGCTGTGTTAGACCACATGGCTGTATCTCATTTGGATTTTTTATTCTCTGGCACAGTGCCTGGAATAAATATTTGTTGAATGAAGGACAAAACATCTCAGCACTTTTATCTAAGCCTGATTTGAGACGCTAAGGGGCCCAGCAGTGACCTTATATGCAGCCTCCAATAAGAAAACAGGAAGGAAAATGAAAGGGAAGTGGTGGCAATGAGTGACTCATTCTGTTTTTGTGTCTAATTCCCTCTTATCGTAAAGAAACAGTGGCTGAAAAAAAAAGCTCTGTGGTTTCACAAAACATCGTCATCATTTCCTTACTAAAATGACAATGTGGCAACATATGATTATGGAAATTGATTTGGGTACCCAGATGATACGCCCTTGACGCAGGATGCAAGTTACCTTCGCCAAAACATTACCTTTCCTGAGGTAGTAAGAATTCTGACATCATGTTGTGGAATAAAGTAATTGAGAAAAAGTAATAAATTGATTCAAAAAGTTCTCTAAATATACGTATTGAGCATGATGTGACTGGTAAGAGGTGTGCAATTAGGAAGGACCTACTCTCCTAGAGCCCAAGATTGGTTAATGAGGTGATGGAGCCCCGCCAACTTCATCTTCAAACATTGCCTCGAAAGATTTTTTTAACCTGTGCTTTCACCATGAACTCCCTCCTCCCTCTGCTCCTCCCGCCTCGTGCACCTGACAGCCTGGTGGTTTGAGTAGGATGCAGAGGGACCAAGGTCCCAGTCCCAAACCTTAGTCAAACCTGTTGCTGCCTAGAGGGACTCCCAGCCTTGGTCTTCTTCAGCCTTTGCGGACTGGCCATAGTTCTGAAGACAGAGAAGGGGTCTTGACTTTACTGTCTCCCGGAACAGGGCTTCAGGAATAGCTCTGATCCCTTAACAGCGTGAGTTGTCTGCCTCACAGCCAGTCTCCTGCTTTCCTTGCTGGCAAAGCCCTAGCTTTGTTTGGCTGTTCACGTATCTGCCCGTGGCTCAAGGGCACTATCCTGATTAGCTTTGGTGATCCTGTTTGCTCGTCAAAGATTGATTTGGGGATGGTATGGAATCTAGTTCTAGCTAATGAGGAGTCTGCTGGAGAACTTCTGGGAAGAATGTCTTGATTCTGAAAAGGAAACCCAGGGAATAAACAGCCTCCCTTCTTATTTGGATGCTGTGGTTCCTGGAGTGAGGCCACGAATGGCAGAGACTACCTTGTGACATGAGGGAGATTTAACCCAACATGCTGAGGATGGCAGAACAGAGAAAAGAGGGGGAAAACAGGCTCCCTGATGAATTCGATAAGTACTGAACTAACACACCCTGGGAGTATCTACCTCTGGGCTTCTTTTGCACCTGAGATGTTTGTGGAAATTGAGGTTGTCCACATGCAGTCAGGAGCATCCTTACTGTGAAACTCTCGGCACTAGGAGGCCCTCCTCCCGAGTCAGTATTGTATTCAATGTCTTCATATACACGATCTCTCTTCTCTTTACTTTCTCCAATCAAAATTCCACTTGATATAAAACACTGTGGGGAAAAAAAAACAGAGAAAAAAATACTAAGACTTCTCCACGTGGTCGGATTCTGTGCCTTTTCAACCTCAGACATTTCTTCCATTGCTTCTACCAAATCAAGTCTCAGAGCTCCTGAAACATACATACCCTTTACTATTGATAAACCTTTACCAACACTCTTCTGTCTCTGGAGAATAATGTATTTTCTAGTGAAAATACATCCATTCTTCGTCTGCTCCAAATGCCTGCAACATGCCACCAATTAAAATAACGTCCTTCATCGATGAATTGCATTTGGTTTGAGTCAGTCTTCCTGCATTTACCCTTCTCTGCTTTACTCTCTAAGGATACGGGATCGGTCTCCTCAAATAAATGTAGAACTTCTTTAAGGCAGAAATGAAATTATTTTTGTTAAGTAATTCATGGAATCACATATTTTTCATGTTAGTATTTCTCCTCCAGCTCTGGTATCTTGCCTCTTAGGGAGCAGATGCTCCATATAATTTGCTGGATTGGTCACATGTGAAATGAAAGAGTTGGATGAAATGATGCTTAAGAGCCTTCCTGACTCTAGGGGACGGTGCTCAAAGGCTAAAGTGAAGTGAAACCATGGTTCTTAGTGACATACGGAAGTTTGGGCACTGGGAAGGAAAGGAAGGGAAACTCTCAGTGTGGGCGGTAGGGAAATACAAATATCTTAAACTTTTTTTAGATTAATATTTTAAAGCTATACTTCTATTTTGGATCTCTTTTACTCATGACATTTACTTTTTGAGGACTATCCAGGACAGCTCTTTGCAAAGGCAGAAATTCCCCTTGTTTGGGAAGAATGTGCTGAAAATAGAATCTCATAACACGCAGCCAAACATAAATCTCCACAGTCTGCCAATGTTCGGGTTTTATTGTGGAGTTATCCGCCCTTGTTTTCAACTTGTGCACGCTCCTGACGTGTTGGACTTGGAGGGGGATTTGCTTTGCTGGAGGGGAACACTCCAGTGGGCTATTTTTGCACTTGATTTGACATTTAGACTCGGAAATACTGGATTTCCAAGATAGTTCTCCCTGGATAAGCTTGCAATGCAGATGTAAAAGTACATCCAGTCGAAATTTTCATCACCTGCTCACATGATCTTTCACAGAGGATCTCCCTACTTCAGACTTCTCTTTGCCTAGATTGAGTGATGGGTCCAAAGTAAATACAAGATGGGGGTAAGTATACGAGGTTCAGGGACTCAAGCTTATCTCTTAGTTATTTACCTCACACCCTCATCTCTAAGATGTACGAACATGGGAAAGACACACACACAAAACTCCCAGAGGCTGTGCTTTGTTTTAGCTTAACGACGCATCAAATCTCTGCTTGTTTTTCCACCACACCTCAATTAGTTCTCCTGGCTCACGTGAGAGATGGCAGCTAGGTACACATTAGCTACTCGGAAGTTTCCACCGAAGAGACGAAACGGACGTGGGATGTGGAGGAAAGTGGAGGGAGAAAATCCAGGCTGCTGTAGCGGGAGAAAGCATTGTTTGTAAAATCCAGTGGTTCAGTATCTCTGTGCCTCCACTCATGTCATCCCTTCTCTCTGGAAACGTCCCTCTTCCTCCACCTATCTTTTTTATTTTTTAATCAAGCTTTTAATGAAAGGATCCTAAAATAACAGTTTCTCATTACTGTACTGAAGACTGCACACCTTTGAATGGAGAGATGGGTGACCTGCTCCAGGATGACATGAGGAGGCTGCATCCTGGCAGCTCTGGCTGGAATGTCTCCAAACTCTTGATGGAAGTGAGTTCCAGGTGATGACTGACGACAGCGGTGGCCAGGACAGGAGGGCAGTCACGGTTCCTTCGCCCGTTCTGGGAAGGGCGTACAGGACATGATCCCTTGTCCAATTCCCACCACACAAAACAGCTGTATCCCCGCCCCTCCCCTGGAGGTAACTTGTGAGCAAAGCAATGCCCAGCCTCCTCCACCTCACTTTTACCCGTTCCTCCAAAATTGGGAGCGTCCAAGTAGTCTTTAAAAGCGCCCTTTCTCTGCAGGCTTTCCTGGTCCCACTGCTGCGTCTCATTAGGTAGAAGCTACTATTGTTTCTGAGCGGCTCCTCATTCTACAGGGCAAGTGTGCGTAGCTCCTCTAACACCGTAGTGCCCCTACTGTGTATGTCTTCCTCCTCCTACTGTTTCTGCTCCCTCTCTGGCAAGGACTGACTGCTAGCCTTCTTTATACCCCCTGAATTCAGAGCAGAGCCTGCCTCTTTGTAGGGGTCAGTGTGTGTCAGCTCAATGCACACACCGGTGGATGAAGGGTGGTGGGGGGAGAGGTTCAGAGCATCAGTTGGTAACAGTTAGAGGATTGCGAAGCTTTACCTGGTAGATCTGTGCATTGGTGGTTACCACCCTACAACTAATTCCTTAAAAATCGTCATCTCCATGGGGCGTGGAGTGGGGCAGTGACGAATGTCCCTTCCCTGCTCTGTTTAGGAATCCTGCTATTAGTGTACCACCTGGGTTACCTTCTCTTCCCCCGACTAAATCCCGTGTGATCTCAGAGAAGAAATGA